ACGTAATTAAAACGGCACTTAATGATCATCTTCGCGTATAAAATGACTTCATATAAACGTTTGCAAGAAAGGATTTCTGAATTAATTGACAACTAAAACGTGCTACGATACATACAATAGGAAGCACATACATCGTTTGGCGAACATATATCGGGATTGCTGTGCCATCTCAATCCCTTCTTTAACGATATAAAAGTAGCTGAAATGTGTAAACAAAATACACGTTTGGGACGGCATCGTTATTTATATGCCATGCCCATTGTTTAACAAACTCTCTCTGGCGTTATCTCCACTTGCAAGATGTGAAGAATCAGCTGGCTATCGCCCCAAAACGTCGAGACAATGTGGAATGGCATTCCTACAGTCTGCGTTCCACCTCGCATTTATCTGTTCTTGTTTCGCCACTGCCTTGGCTTGACACCCCCCTGCTGCTCACCTCTAACAGTGACACCGCCACGGTCTGCTAACAGACTCTTCTTATCTGCTTGACTCTGCAACCACCACAATCATTCCCACCTGGTTACCAACCCTAGTTCCCTATATCACAGCTGTTGTTCGTGCCTTCATCTGGTTTCTCTTGCCCCTTAGTAATACTGTCGCCATGCTGATTCTGAAAAAATATAAATACATCCATTAATTCCTGCAAACTGCCACATCTGCATTAAGCCTGCTACAATTGCAAACATCGTTGGAAGGATTAATTTATTCCCACCACCCTTGACATCTCTACATCCATGGTGTCCTAATTGTTTAGCTCTGTCATCTTTGTACCTCTCCAATGACCACGGTTCTCTCTCCCTGTTCTAATCGTAACTGCAAGTTGTAGAATAATTAACCAATGCATCTTCAATGAACACCTTAAAGACTGCAGACATATCCTGCATACGTATCTCATGATCCTGCTAAAACCCCTAAGCTTACTTGTTCGTTGACTCTACAATATATTTTACTTTCGTCCGAAAAATCCACCAGTTTTGGTATTCTCTATGTGGTTCAATCCTCAGCCTGCTCAGCTTCTGCCTATATCCACCACTTTCCTACTCCCTATTCTGCTGAGATGCCTATTCATTATTGTCTTCTCTTACGTTCTACTCTGTGGCCTAACAAAACCCATAGCCCTCGAAAATCCAAATAAACCAGAACGCCACTGTAAGGCTGGTCGCGAAAACCCATGCACACATCCCTGCCATTGGCTTCCAAAATCCCCAGAGAAACTACAAAATCACATTTACTGCTTTCAAAATCCTCTGTGGACTTTCCCCTGCTTACCTCTCCGAATTTATGGCACTCTGTTCACTCCGTTACCCTCCCTCTGCAATAACAACGGCTGCCTTATGTCACAACCCCACAGACAACATCCACTCAATGCAAGGTTGTCCCTTCTCCTATGTTGCTCTGAATGCCTGGAACTTCTTCCCATGGCCGTCTGTATGTACTGCTGACTTTTCTCTTTCCCTGCACTCTTCTCGACCCTGTGTTTCCCCCTCCGATAATGTAGTCTTGTGCAATGGCCCTGTAGCCACCACTGTCCCATACCAAAACACTTGTCTACAAATACATTAATTTCCCCTATCACATCCCTCCATCCATGTATTTACATTGGCGTTATTTCGCACCGTACGTAGCTAACTGCGCTAATCGGAGGTGCGAGTGATGGATCCTATCTTTTAACATCATCTTGAGATAAGGTCGCATTGAGGATCATCATTAACGCACGTTATATTGCATCAGTCGTGCGGTGAATATTCATTTCATATTCTGTTCATTAACACAAGGCAGCCATCACAGCTGTCGTTATCCATTTTTTTTAACATCGCCCCTCTCGCCTGGCTCTTCATCGCTGAAGCCAAGCAACGTGCAATTCGCCGTTTGCCTGCATTGACGAGCAGTTGTGGCGATTCCGTGATATTTAACCTTGCAGATGCTACACAATTATCATTGTATTAGAACTAATTTTGTTTTGCTGGCTGTATTTTTTTGCCTGGATTCCTGCCTGATTGACTGTCTGGCTCGGCGAAGTGCGTGGTGGTGACTGTGTGATGACGTTGCCCGCATCCCAGCCGTGTATCCCGCGCGAGTGCGCATTGCAAATGTGCATTTGAGATTTTCATATTGTAGTGCTAAGTGAAGGGATGGCTTTGCACTCATTGAACGCAGCAATGATGGCAGAAGATAATGAGTGATGATGATGATGACTCCGCTGTAGCTGATGATGATGATGATGATTCAAACATATCCCAACCCCACAAACCCACGCCGACCCCTATCCCGTGGCGATTCAGCGAGCCTTGCTTGCAAAGCGCTCGAGTTCAGATGTGCACCTACCATGTGCACACTCCACCAGGCAAAGGACACAGGTGCCACTGATGTTTGGAATCTAACTCATGTCACTGGGTTTGTTGCGAAGTTCGTGAGCCACTGTTTTCTGGCTTGACAAATAAATGTAAAAAAATTTTTGGAAGATCAAAGCTAAAACATTTTTCGATTTAAAGCTTTCGTGACTGCAATGATTCATCTTCTTTGGTTCTTTTGGTAAAGTCACGTAGAATGAGAATAAAATAATACATTGATAAAATAAAATAACACAATAATATTCTCACGACGTTTCGGCCACATTATTGTGTTATTTTATTTTATCAATGTATTATTTTATTCTCATTCTACGTGACTTTACCGAAAGAACCAAAGAAGATAAAACATTTTTATTTAGCAATGTCAAAGGCTGTAAAGACAGCCCACCTGAGGAGCAGCGATGCTTAGGCCACCGGTTAAAGGATTGGCAGCCAGAGATTATCTTAACATTTCGGTGATGATAAACTATTTCGAACAAATATGAAGTCCAGCCTTGTGTCAACCCGCTGCTGGATGAAGACCTCCCCAAAACCATTCAGTCATGGAGCTTGACCATACTTCACCACACTGGTCAAATATGGGATGGTGAAGTGGGGGTGACCAGGTCCTGTTCCGATATCATTTGCCACTGATGTTAGCCATGGCCGGATCATGTTGTGTTTATATGTGCCGGGAGCGGTGGCGCAGCGGTTGCGCTACGAATCCGGCGACCCGAGTTCGATTCGCGCTCACGGCCAACACCGGTGACGATTATCTGATCCGGTCCTGGGTCTCCTCCCCTCGGTCGACTCAACCTCAAATGAGTACCTGGTGTGGTGTGTAAACACCGTCACTAGGGAGCCAAAGGCGGTCGGGCGTGGTACTGGCAACCCACCCCCTCGTGTGCCGTGCCGGCCTTGATATATGCCCGCTAACAGCACTTGCCCCAAAAGTCTGTTTCAGGCGATACGGGGATCTTTGTCTTTGGAGCGGAAGTGTTTTGGTGAGCACACCGCGCGACGAATCCGACGAGCAGAGTTCGATCTCCGCTCATGACCAATATCAGTGACTGTGAACATCCGAACCTGTTTCGAGCCTCCCCTAGGCACTGTGCACATGATGCTTGCAACATGTCACTTTGGATGTATGGGCTGGTGGATCACGTGGCTGCCAGATGACCAGAAGACAGTACAGCAAGTAGATTCTTTAATCTATTTGTGCGGACATTTTGAGTATTGTACCCCGCCAGCATGGTACGCCACTTTCGTCCCAAATAGCAAACACTCTTCAAGACGAGGTTGTGGACGTGAGGCTTTCCAGGCAACACTACCTTCTCTGCATCATCTTCGTCATCATCATCTTCATCAGCAGCAGCAGCAGAAGTTACATCAGCAGCAGTAGTGGTGACAACGCCGTCGTTTTCATCAGCATTCAATTAAAGCATCACAATCATCAACGGAATTGTTTCCATCACTATCCTTGTCTTCACCATTTTCATCATCACTTGCAACTTCTCAACGTGAGTGCCGGTGTGTGATTCCATTTCACCGCTCCCGAAAAGTTTCGAGCACCAACAAGTCCTGCTTTAAATATTGTGCATTTATTTGGAAGAAGGGAAAAAAGCGACAGATTGGAGGTAATTATTGTGCACATAAATTAGAGAGTGCATGGCATGGGCTGCCATGCCCTCTTGACACGTCCATGTACAGGCCCCACTCCCAAGGCGTGACCGACTTTGATTCGGCACAAGTGTGGAAGTTTCCGCTTATTTGCCCACTGTGGGTCACTCCACACGCACAACTGTGGTCCCTGGCATGGCTTGGGGAGGGTTTAGAGTCGTCAAAATTAAAAGTTGATAAAAGTGTGAAATCAGGGCCTCTACAGCAGAGTCGGCGGGGACATGGCAGATGAAAGCGATGATAAACGGAAGCAGCTAAGAGTTGTGCAAAGTTGATAAATGTATCAGGAGAGTTCTGGCTCAAGAATAACAATATTGTTTCTGTTGTTTATTGCAAGCTTTCCCTAAGTATTTTGAGAGAAGCATAAGGGAGACGGAGTATTTGTTTTCTGAAAAGGATTACTTAAATTTTTTTGTACGCGTTAGCTAAACCACAACAGATTTTGAATTAATATTTCTACGCGTGACTGCATCTCCGTATGACCGTCTGCTCGAGTGACATTCCAACCGCAGCCACCTTGTTCACCGCACCAAGTGGCTACAGACGACAATCACGTGGCGTGGCGGATGCGGCGAAATAACCAAAGCGGCGAGTAGCAGCAGCATCACGCTGCTCCGTCGTGTTTCTGGTTGCAGCGTCTGTCAGTGTCGTTGTGGGCCTTTGGCGAAGACTTATGCTGTTTTTGTTGTAGTTCCTCGTTTTTAATTCGTATTGTGAATAGCCTCATTGAGTCTCAAGACGTTTTTTTAAGGGTCAAGTTTTCGGATACATATTCTTGGGTCTTTCGGCAAAGTCACGTAAATAAAAAAAATAGCTCGCGACGTTTCGATCGCAACGCGAGCAATCTCTCACCTGAAGACGATTGCTTGTGTTGCGATCGAAAGACTCAAGAGTATGAATTCCTGCAAGTCACGAAAGCTTTAAATCAAGAATGTTTTCGGATGTTTTAGCAAATACCGGTTACACTGTATGTTTGTTTTTGCTATTGAGGGAAACCCGAAGAATCCAGAGGAACCCCCACGCAGAACTGTGGAGAACATACAAACGCCACCGAGAAAAGACGCCAAGGTTGGGAATCGGACCCAGAACCGTCTTGCCCCAAGGCGCCCACCCTGCCTCCGACTAAACAATTCTCACGCCAATGAACGCTGCGTTCTTCGTGAAAGAAGAAGTATTATTATTAAATAGGTGTACACGATTACAGTAGAAGCAATCTCATGACAGCCGTTACGAACTTGACTTGCCCTCCATGACGCCTACATTAATTCACATTTCGTTATTTCACGAAGCAGATAATGGTTGCTTCAATTGACAAGTTCTGTTTCGCTCTGCCCTGCGTTCTCTTTTGTCACCCTCACAGCCATATAATTTACCATTCATGAACATTAACTCTGAAAATAAACTCAGCTATGAAGAAAGGTACACAAAAGAAGGGCCATTGCCTAAAACATTGACGATTACATATATTTTTTGAACGAATGTGTAGTTTTGTTGCTGTTATTTGTCCTTGTGCACCACTGCTAATGCAGTATCGTCAAAATATAGTTTATGAAGAATTTTATTTTATGAGGCGGGGGGGGGGGGACTCCCCATATTACATTTTATTCTACAGGGAAGCCAAATCACAATGAGATGAGATGATCATAACATCGGAGTGGTCTGTCACCAATATCGCACCATTGCATGTCTGCTGGGTCCCGTAATTGGTTGAATGTAGATGCTTGACCTTCAAGCTCTGCTCTTACAGTGTCCTATCATCTGGCGTTTGGCCCAATCCAATAGTTCTGGGTTGTATACATACCTTTAATTGTTTAGCAAACCTTTTGTACGTGACATTTGTATCGCTCATTTATTTGGAGCCTTTTATACATTCTTAAATAACTTCCTGTAGTTCATTTTCATTGGTTTTCAAAATAACCATGTTTTCAGCACACGAAAGATGATACATTTATATTTATGCCTATTTCACCAATCCAGTAATATATAATGCGTCAATGTGAATAGTCGTGTTGAGAGTACATCTCTCCGTGATTCTTGTGCTGACTTGCATTTTGTTATTTTTCATGCAATACCACAATGAACTGACTCATATTCATGAATAGTTTTGATAATTTATAGATATTTTTATTGAGAGCTTGAATGACTGCATTCATATTCACCGAGCCAAATACCCTCTTTATAGTCTGCAAAAGTCATAATGTTGTTTTCATGTTATTTTTTTCTACGATCGTATTAATGAAATATATGGTTGGTTTGCTTCTAATTTGTCCATTCAGTTTGCTATAATGTTCATGAACAATTTATATGTGTGGTAGGAGAATAGTGAATGTCATTATTCAAATCGTTTTGGCTCCCATGCTGAATAGCAGAATGATTGAGGCATCCTTCCATGACTGGGGTGTTTCATTTCAGTGTAAAAATTGACTAATTCGCTTTGCTAAGTTTATTCAAACAACCAGCTCTCCACTTCTTCGATGCAGTCCAAAGTTACGAAGCAGATTTCCTCCCACGGCAGCGTTTACTTCTGACACCTGGAATCTGTGATGGAGTCGTGGATGTCATGGACATCTGGGGGGATGTGCCTCTCTGCGAGAGTTCTGAATGCATTCTCCATTGTCTCGTGACAATGATGCTGATAGCACAACGGGAACAACATTGGAGCAATAGACAAGAAACATTTTAATGTTTAATGGGGGCTTCATGTGAAACAAATATTACGCAAGTACGATCCCACTCTTTGTGCATCATCGCAGACAGTTACAGAGGGCTCTTTCAAGTACGCTTCTCCGATCATTTACACGGATAAATTGGGGCAAATGAAGAATATATGACCCCATTAAAACATTTGCTCGTACCATTTTCATGTTTGGAGTTGCATAGCTTCCTATTATGATCCATGTTATTGTGATACTGTGACCATATCGCAGTTATCGCAATAACATGTATCATGTTGCGAATCTGTCACATACTGCAATATGACAATACCACGCATGACCTCAAGTGTATCACTTCCAGTATTATATGGTCTCAATTCTAGGAAAAAGCAGAAGAAAGATTACGGGTCTGGAGGCTACGTGGCGCCGACTCGTTTGTGAGCCAGATTCCCACGTTGGTGAAATGTAAAAATGCATCACCTTGATTGACAGTGGTTCGCCCCATTGTTGGTGACTAAGATTTGTTGTTGCTGTTGCCAAAAATCCGTTGAAAAGAAACATTTTCCAACGTGTAACCAGGCCCCTTGGCCGCCAACTTTGCCACTTCTTCACTTTTGTTGCGAATATATTGACACAGGAGGTTGTGTTGAAGCCTCACTTCCCAGTGGAATTACTTTTGACTTGTGGCAGTGGTAGACGAGCAAACCGATGCGATCATCTCTAGACGTAAAAGGCGTCCGTCGTACAATAACAAGGCGATGCACGGACTCCGATGTAGCCCCCGTGCGGCATCCCAGTGCTCCCTAGAGAGTGACGTGGGTTGCACGTCACGCGAGGAATGCATTGTGGGTAATCGCCAGGTTAAAATAGTGGTAGAAAATTAGATGCTCGAGTGCGACAACCCAGAGCACAGATTTGCCAAGGCCTGAATGTTCGTCGATTTAGTTTGAAGGCGATAGAAACTTTACACGTACAAACAGAAATGCGTCAGGTTGCATGGTGACATCATATTACTCATGGCACGTTTCACCCAAAAACCAAACGTGTCGTGATGAATATCAGCATCCAAAGCGAATGGGTAAAATGTGTAAAAATGTTTCAGAATAAAGCTCCTAGTCCCGCATGTTATATTATGCTTGGAGTGTGTATGTGTATATTTATCGGCAACAGATCAGTGTGATTTGTAAAAATGAGGATGTCCATTTTGCAAATGACAACATAACACAAATGCCACTTGGTGAACGTTTTTGTTTGCATTTTGTAATGGCAACATTTTGGCAAGAAGTGACTTAGGCTGATGGCCCTTGTTTTCTTCAAACGAAGTCACGTGATCTGTGCAATGTACAGAAGGAAGGCTTCATTTTATTTATCCTTAAGGTGTTTCGAAACTACGGCAACACATTTTGGCTACACGCTTTAAATTTTGCGCAGTTATGCGGAACTTGCGCCCATGGGCACGCGCTCTGCTGTTTTTTGTGCACGAGTACATTGCGGAAGCCACACGTTAAAGTGACGGACGTTAAAATAAATAAAGTTGGTAACAAACTGTCAAACCAACGGAAAATATGTTTGGGAAAAAAACGTCCCCGCCTATTCTAAGCTAGCCTTCATGACTGCATTAATTCCCCAGTAATATTGGCAATTTAATTAAAACGGGCCACCAGTCAAGCAGACATTCCTGCTAAGTTTTTCCTGGAGTTGAGCCATTACACATTCGGGCCGATTTAAATCTGAACTTTAGTCAATGAGCAGTGGCTAGATGATGGCTGATGATGAGTGGCGATGACCCTGGTAGAAGAATGAAGATGGAGGCCTTGTATATGACAAATTTTTCGAAAATGCTGCAAATAATGTCATTTGAAATAATGTCCACTCTTAGTTCTTGTGACACTAAGTAAATTCATTTTATACATGTTTTTTTTTTTCCTGAAGACGACCGCTTGTGTTGCGATCGAAACGTCGTGTTTTTTTATTATTATTTTCTTTGAATCTATCTACGTGACTTTCCCGAAAGACCCAAAGAATATGGTTTAAATGCATAACATGTTTGTCCTTTATTATGGTTACGGTGTGTGTTATCAAAATATTTATAAATTAAGTGTAATATGAGCCACTAACAGTTCAAATCGAAAAAATATCGATGCTGAAGACAATTTTTTTTTGCCTGGTTTAACTAACATGCTGTTAAATCGTTCAGGCGAAATGTTGTGGGGGAAATTTTCGAGGCGGGGCATTTGTTAGAGGGCACTTGGCTACAGAACACGGCGACCTGAGTTTTGACTGCCAGCCAGCGGAGACCAACGCGCACACACACGGGGAGTGATATCGGACCCACTCACTGGCACCCACCCACACTGAACCGACTCGCACATTGGCCAGCGTGGTGAAGTATGGACAAAGGACACGCGTGACCGACATAGCGTGGGGAGGGAGACCTTCATCCAACAGTGGGTTGATTAAAGGGCTGTACATTTCTAACGATTGTTATTACCGTTTACAGTGCAGTCATTCTTTTGGGAAATCAACGTGTACCATTCATCTGTGTGTTGTAAATCACTGGACATTACATATATAGTATTATAGGGTTTATCATATGATGTATTGTTATTAAAGGAAGAGGCAGGCCACACTACAAAATTACCGCGTCCCAGGCTGTGAGTTCAAAGCTTCTGTAATGAGGCAAATGCGCAGCCCAGAAATAGCTCGCTCGTGCCACTGCTGCCAGAAGGGCTTACACTGGAGGCAGAGCCGTGGAAGAGCCCCTCTATAGAGAGAGTACATTTGGCCTGACTCTTCTATACCAAGCCAGACCTTGCTGGTTGACTTATCCGTGGCGAACACGTTTGCCCTGCTGGGCCGGTGGGGGGGGAGGATTTAAATACATTTTAAACTGCCGCACCGTGAGACGGAGTTGAACCGGCGACCCCCTCTGGATTGCAAGTTTCCATCGGTGCTGCTAACCCGTTGCTGTAGACTTGAGTAGATATGACGGCGTGAGAGTGGCGTCCGAGGACGCCACGATAACGCTCTGGTGACATCGATGCTACGTCGACCGCGCTCTGTTTGTGTCCCGCCAGTGCGGGGACCATCACCGAGGCATAACGTGAAAGCGTTGCTTGTTCGTGAGGCCGCAAACTCCGTAGACAACCCGAGAGGCTGTGTTGTCTTTTTTATATATAGTGCACCATACCTACAAACCTCATTTAACCACGCAGACGTCTCTTACTTAACTCTGTTGCAGCTTTAGGGTGTCTTAGAGAGCCCGAATTTACGTGCTCTTTTAATACAGATTTTAAAAAAGCCATAAAGTGCAACGATTTATTTCTCCAGGAATTTTATTGGAACAAGTTCAGTTAGAAATCAAAATGAGGACGTTTACAAAATGTAAAAGTGCTTTTTACAACTCTTATTTAACGCTGGGGGGGGGGGCAAAAAAATAGACTGCCTTTTGCTCATTTTCCACATGTTCTAAAACACAATTCCTTGTGTGTGTTTGTCTTGTGTGTCTGTGTGTGTGTCTGTCCGTGTGTCTGTGTGTTTGTCTTGTGTGTCTGTGTGTGTGTGTCTGTCCGTGTGTGTTTGTCTTGTGTGTCTGTCTGTGTGTGTGTCTATCTGTGTGTCTGTGTGTTTGTCTTGTGTGTCTGTGTGTGTGTGTCTGTCCGTGTGTCTGTGTGTGTGTGTGTCTGTGTGTGTGTCTCAGATCTGCGTGGGGATCGCAGAGAGAGTAAGTGCCCCACTCCTGGCTGTGACGGGACGGGTCACGCCACGGGCCTTTACCCGCACCACCGGAGCCTGTCGGGCTGCCCGCACAAGGATCGCGTCCCGCCCGAAAGTAAGCCCTCTCGCTCCTCAATGCCGCCAGCGCCGCTCTCGGCAAAGGATTCCCCGTGTAGCCCTAACGGACTGTTTGGGGCAAGTGGCTGTTAGCGAGCGGCACCTATGAAGGCCGGCACGGCACACGAGGGGGTGGGTGGCCAACACCACGCACGGCCGCCTTTGTCTCCCCAATGGTCATGTTTTACACGCCGCACCAGGTACTCATTTGAGGCTGAGTCGACCTAGGGGGAGGCCCAGGACAGATTCAGATAGTCGTCACTGGTGTTGGCCGTGAGCAGGAATCAAACCCGGGTCGCTAGGTTCATAGCGCAGCACGCTAACCGCTACACTACCGCTCCCCACACTGACACACTCTGGAATACCTACACAGCATCATCATCATCATCGTGCTGCTGCTGTCAAACCCCCGGTGGCTTCACACGTGTGGCGGCCCTCAAACTGACGATGTCTTATCGGCGAAAGTGCCCCCCCCCTCCTCTCTGAAAATGAGTGAAGAACTCTGGCCTATAATAGAGGGGTTTTTTTGGGTTAGATCAAGTAAAGACGATCTAACCCCCAAAAAAACCCTCCATTATGGATGCTATTGGTCGCGAAAGCCTACGTGTTAAATTAACTCTGGCCTACACCACCTTAACCGTTTTGAACTCTTACACCGTCGCAACTCTTTAAATCCCATCATCGTCTGTGTTGAACGTGCTTCTCCATCATATTTGTAATTGTTCGGGAGTTTGATTGTTTTTTTTTATACTGGAATCGTTCGTTTAACAAATCCCCTGCAATGAGGACCGGGCACCCGCCACCCCCCTTTCACTGCATCGTACCCATGGTACCCTTCGCCAATGATAGGTTTTGGTCTGGCATCTTTTTCATTTGACGCCCCTCGTTTCTGAAATTACTTGGTCTCCCAACTGAGCCTTCATTGAACTCTGACCATAGCGGTGTTTGAATATAAATTGATGAATGGGGCTGTTGAAAACCTTTTGTCAACGTCAAATAAAGAAAAGCGCGGTTGCCTTGCTCAGACAAAGTTGCAATTTTCTTTACACGCACAAAGTTTGCGTGGTGCAAACTCCCTGTACGGGGCTTCAGCTGATTTACTCAATTAGCGTGTGACGTGCGTAAACATTATCGCATTGAATGTGTGTTTCGCGGGTCGAATGGGCAGTGTCACCGTTTTAACGTGCTCTTTTAATTCTATGCTTTTTTGTTTGTTTGGATTGCTCACCCTTTGACAAAACCCGACGTGAACCCAGTCCTCGCTCTGCATGAAAACGTGTTGAAGTGTCCCACGCCTGGCTGCAACGGGAGAGGTCACGTGAACAGCAACAGGAACTCCCACAGGAGGTGCGTACGCACCGGACATCTCGCGCACCATCTATGCAGTGACCACATGCACCGCTATCGGTGGAATTAAATGTGGGCAGGACTCCGTTTGTTGCCGCGACGGTGGCAAGATGTTAACTACCTCGCTTGGTATACAGGAGGTCAGTTCGATCCCAACCCTCACACGCCTGTATATATGGAGTTTGCATGTTCTCTCTCTCCATTGTCGCGTGGATCTTTTTCTCCAAGTCCTCCGGTTTTCCCCTCCACATTTAGAAACGCGCGTTTAGAGTATTTGACTGCTATACATTTACACATGATAATCCACTTCTTGTTGCCAGACCGCTTCTGAAAAAGAGCTATTTAGCTCAGTGAGCCTTAACTGTTCAAATAAATGAACATCATTTTTAGTCCATCAGCCTAACGGCTATCCAGATCAATATTAATCAAGCAGCATTTGTTTTTAGAAAGCACCCCCAAGACCAGTTTTGATTTTCTGGGTCTCATCAGCAGAGCCAAGCTTGTTAAACAAGTGCTGCTGAATGACCAGCTGACATTGACAATGGTTGGATTGTGTTCACTCTCCGGTGTAAGTAAAGATTAACGTTATGGAGACTGTAATGTATGTGTTTGTATGTTGAACTTCTTTCGCACCGTACGTAGCCAACCGTGCTAATCGGAGGCGTGGGGGAAGGACAAAAAACTTAACACAAAAAGCAGTTTGAGATAAATGAGTTTTGAATCTAACTAGTAGCTCTTGTCCAAGACATCCACCAATATCGCCAAAAATCTTAAACCACATGCGAGAAAGTTGTAGTTTAAGTCAGGTTTATTAAATAAATAAACAAGTTTCAAGAAAACTTGCACTTTTAGTTAAATAAATATGAAAGTAAAGTGAATGCAACTTACCTGTTTTGTATTCCCCTGTTACGTGCACATATTTTACCCATTAGTGCTTTACAAACGTAATTATACACATTTTAATTCTCTAGGACAAATACACAGACATTTCATGCCATCTGCTCTCAAAACCAGAATTGTGCAGACTTGAAAACCAGAAGGGGACTCCACGTATGTTTTCCCGGGGCAGAATATGTAGCAGCGTGCATTGGTGACTTCAGAGTTGTCTATCACTGCGTCACCGCTACTGTCAGTTGGTCACATTGCCTCAAATGTATTGAGATAGTGGCTGAGGACGAGAGGACCACAATGCACTTCTTCAGGAAATGCTGATGTTTTGTGCATATGCACAGATGGTGTGTGATCTTTACATGTTTCTGCGTGCTATTTTATGCAGTTTTCAGTTACGTGCTATGTAAATACAAATGTTATTGTTACGTGGCGCTGAATGTACTTTTGAGAAAATATGTTTGCCGAGTAAGGGGGGTATTGTCCCTCTGCTTCTTCCGCAGGAGATGTACAGTAACTAGAAAATATTTCTGGGGTTCATATTACAGAGCCTGATGAATTTCTGGTACATTCGTATTATACCCATGCCTAACTCCCAGTACAGCCATATCATACCCGTGTTTAGTCATAGTCACATGCTTAAGATGTGCATTGCGTAACTGCAGACAGTTTAAAAACAAGTCGACTATGATTTCAACTTCCAAACTTGCAATTGTGAGTCAAGTGTTCTAACACAGCATGACTTAGCTAGATTTTATATATACTTTGTTTCACCATTTCACCCTCTTATCCACTCAGATTATCATTGCATTGTCCACCGTGCCATTAAGAAGGGCCTTGTTTCCATGGGTATCATGTAAACCATATGTGTAGCAGCAAGAGATTCCCGTGTGTATGGATAAGGCTTGGGTGATCACGATATAATTTTCTCCGATACCAAGGTTCTTTGCAAACCCACGGGTTTTTATCAGAGATTTGTTCACGAGGCAATTCAGATCTACAAACACAGACACAATTTCAACCGAGAAGATGGTTTCAAATTAAGCAACCATTGGAAAGATGTTCTAAATCGAACTAAACATTAAACTAATTTCAATGGTACAGTATATTTTTTCAAGTAGTGGTACCCCAAACTTTCGCAGCTCTTATAAATTCCCTTTTCACACCATCAATAGGTAAACTCCCCCCCCCACGCCAAACGGCAAGTCCACCAGCACGTGCACCACCACTTTTCTAAAATCGGCCAATCAAATGCTAATTTTTATGCTAATTTCTTTGTCAGGACACCTTGTTTGCTCGCACACAGCTTAAAGGTCCGCGGTCTGAGCGTGGTTGTGTTTCGCTAAATTCTCCTGTTTGATTTGTACTAGGTGCCTCGGTGAATGTATATGCTCTGACTTTAACATAGCTATTTCTGTGACCAGTTACAAGCTAATCACTCAGCTATTTCAATGCTAAATTCTATGCTAATTCCTTTGTCAAGGGGTGCCTCTGCGGATGTGTATACTTTAACTTAGCTATTTCAATGCTAAATTCTATGCTAATTCCTTTGTCAAGGGGTGCCTTTGCAGATGTGTATGCTTTAACTTTAACATAGCCATTTCTGTGACCAGTCACAAGCTAATCACTCAGCCATTTCAATGCTAAATTATATGCTAATTCCTTTGTCAAGGCGCTTTGTTTCTTCTCACACAGCTTAAAGGTCGTGATCTGAGTGTGGCTTTTTTTCACTCCAGCGCTATCCTCCAGACAGTCTCGTCCCTTCACCTGATGAAGGCCGCTTGTATTGTGGCCGAAACGTCGTGATTTTTTTTTTACCTACGTGACTTTACCCAATAGAACCAAAGAGTATGGATAAGGCTTGTCCATTTAAAGGTAGAACAATATACGTCTGCAGCAGTGTGACATTTTAATTCCACCAAACACCGCATTGTGAATAATTACAGAAGCATTTGCAAGCGTGAGCATCTCAAGTAATCCACCATTGACCAACGGTGAGGTCATGTGACACTTTTTTTTGTGATGTTTAACAGCCTCCCAGTATATTCGTGGTTCTTTCGGTATAGTCACGTAGAAGGTAAACAATAAAATAAAAAATATATAAATAAAACAATAAAATTATCACGACGTTTCGACTGCAACACAATCAATCATCATCAGGTGTTGAAAACCACAGCAAGAAAATTTGAAAAAAGCACTTGATGCATCACGCCACTTTTTTCAAATTTTCTTGCTGTGGTATTCACACCTGATGATGATTGCTTGTGTTGCAGTCGAAACGTCGTGATAATTTTATTGTTTTATATTTTTATTATTTTATTGTTTCCCTTCTACGTGACTTTACCGAAAGAACCAAGAATATGAATCCCTGCAGTCACGAAAGCTTTAAATCAAAATTTAGTGTTATAAATGTTGGAAATCACAATATGAAGGGTAATGCGGGCTTTGTCATACGCCTCTGCTGTTGGCTCTGCAAAGTTGTAATTACATTTCACTGATTGTCTTCTTTAGAAGAGTGTATGGCACAATATGAGTTCATAAACACACGAGTAAAGTGTTATGCAAGATTTGCTGGCCTTGAGACAGGCTTTTAGCATATTGATGCAAGTCAACCACTTGACATGAGTATTTGTATATGCACTCAGAAAAGTAATTAAAAAATCATTAGTGTGCATTACATATATGTTATAGCAATTTACATGGAGCCATTCTGCATTTAATTTTTGAAACACTTGTCTTACATGTGAAGCAGTTTGTAAAGCTGCTGTTAACGCGAGTGTGTTTTGTAAATTCGCAAACGTTGTCAACAGTTTGACATTGTGGTGTTAAAAAAAAAACCTTTTAAACTCTCACAGAGGGCACATGATGTTGGTCGGCAAAAAAATAAAGTCTTGAGAGTTTGTTGTGCATGTTGTGTGTTAGCGTTGATGTGCGCCTGAAAATGGTGGACTGTTGTTTGTATGTTGGACTTGTACGTATGTTGAACTTCTTTCGCACCGTACGTGGCCAAACGTGCTAATCGGAGGTGCCAGGGTAAGGACAACAAAACTAAACCCAAAAAGCAGTTCCATTGTGTGGCTTCCTGATATCGGAAGGGTATTTCTACTGTGCCGGTCAACACTGTGAGTTTCATCGGTGGCAATGGCGATGGCAGACCTGTGTAACATCCCGTGGCAGATTCCGCTGTGGACACGAAGAAGGCGCGACAATATGCTCCACACTCCGTTTGTACCATCAGCTGCAGAGCAGCCAGCTAAGGAATTGCTAACCGCTCTGTCCTTCCTGGAAGAGTGCCACAGTCTCCTGGTTTCACTCTCGCCTCTTTCTTCCACGTGCATTACTCTTCCTCCTCCTCCTCCTCCATCTTATTCTCCGCGTGCATACCGAGTCGGCCGCCGAGGTGAAGTGGGTGATGGCACAAACACCAGGGAATCTACGAATTGAAAAGCAGTTCCCTTTTCTTCCCGCCACCGCTTACGAGACGCATCGAGCGCTTTTGCCGAGCCCCTTAACGGATGAAAGCCCTCTCCGCACCCTGTCAGTCACGGCGGTTGCTCGACCATACTTCACCACACCGGTCGATGAACGGCGTTGCCCTTCACCAAGCTGCACTGAAACAGGTTCGGTGACCTCAGGTCGACCGCCAGCCGGCCGGTAATTGAGCTTGGTACACCAGGTTCATTGCGCAGTGCATTATTAATTCATTAGTGCTGCAATCTCGCTCCGCCACATGGAGGTGGTACACGGCTCTGTAAATGCTCGTACACAATCGTTTCCACGTTGGCGTTTGCGGGGTGGCGTGCCGATGACAGTGGTACAACTCGTAATAAATTGCACTGTAGGCTTCACTCTGCTGCACCCTACCCTGTTCTAAGAAATTAGTTCAGGAGATGTGTTAACACCAAGCCCTATGAAATCACTTTACATGGCAGTCAGTCAGAGAAGCGCGTGTCATTGCCTCCTGTCAAATTTCCCGACACCTCCTTCAAGCCGAATGAACGTAGACACAGTGCTGTTCCACTCTCCAGGTGCCTTGCTCAGAATGCTGCTGGTGAGCACTCTGCTAAGGTCTGCACGGGCGCAGAATACCAATGCGCCCGTGGTTGTTGTAA